ATGACTGTTTTCTTTTCTCTTTCTTTTCTTTTCTCTTTTCTCTTTTTTCTTTCTTTTACCCTCTCTCTTTGTTTTTGCCTCTTTCTTTTCCTCTCTCTCTATCTTTCTTTTATCTCCTTCTTTCTATCTTTCTTTTATCTCCTTCTTTCTATCTTTCTTTTATCTCTTTCTTTCTATCTTTCTTTCTTTCTTTCTCTCTTTCTTTCTTTTTCTCTTTCTTTCTTTCTCTCTTTCTATTCTTCTTTCTTTCTCTCTTTCTATTCTTCTTTCTTTTCTCTCCCCTTTTCTTTTCTCTCTTTCTCTCTCTTTTTCTTTTCTCTCTCTTTTTCTTTTCTCTCTTTCTCTCTCTTTTTCTTTTCTCTCTTTCTCTCTCTTTTTCTTTTCTCTCTTTCTCTCTCTTTTTCTTTTCTCTCTTTGTCTTGCCCCTTCTCGTTCGTTCGTTTCTTTCTTTCTTTCTTTCTTTCTTTCTTTCTTTCTTTCTTTCTTTCTTTCTTTCCCCCCCCCCAATCGAGATCGCTTAAAACGGTGAAACTTGATCAATATTTTTCTGTGGACCAGTGGGTTTCTCTAGTTGAATATAACTTTATGTATATTGTATATTCGAATTCTTTATCTAGTACTTTTTTCTTTATTTTTTTTTGTTTGTTCTTCATCTCGGAACTTCCTCACCTACCTGGCGTTTTCTTACTTACCTGAATATCACAGGTAAAATCTGGGTTTACTCACGACAAATATAACACTCTGAACTACAAATTGTTGGATTTCAATTAGACTAATGTTCCAGATTGTTCTTATATTTGACGCAAACATCCATAATCCACCCTTATTCCATCCTGTTTAATGCATTTTATCAATAAATAAATAAGTAAAATTAGTTTTCTTTTCTGTATAGGCAATAATAATAAAAATATTAGTTACAATACTATACGGCATATGCACAGGTTGGGATATTAAAGTAATTAAAATTCAATCGTTTAAATTCAAAGTTGGTTTACCAAAACAAAGTGTGTGTGTGTGTGTGTGTGTGTGTGTGTGTGTGTGTGTGTGTGTGTGTGTGCGCGCGAGCGCGCAGTATTTATAGTATCTTGCGTTTGTGTGATTACATCACATTGCTGTTTGTATCTATCTTCGGGCAGATTTTGTGGGTGAGTCACATTGTATATCTACAAATCTATCATTCGAAGTAAATATTGAAGAAAGCAAATTAACTCCTGCGGAGTATTTCATTTATTAACTTGCAGTAATCGCGAGCGAGTTAATCTCTGTGTGAACACTGCGTATTAGCCGCTAGCGAGATGTGCGTTTTTCGCCAATAAATAAAAGTCAGTATACGGTGGAGTAATGGATAGCGACTCGGATTGTGGAATACGGTAGAGCCGTTCGAATTCCAGTCGAATCCATTACTTTCATTTACATGCTAATACCCCTAGGAAAATCTGAATCCTTTTCTGCCTCCACCTATTGGTAAATAGCAGGATAGCCTTGGATGACAACTGGTCTACCGCAGAAAGAAATGGCAACCTACTGCGGGAAAAAATCTGCTTCGTCGAAAGATACGTGATCACCTAAGAGTGATGTGCAGGGCGCGTAGTTGACTGAAGTATAGATTAGTAAAAATTATTTTTATACATTCTTTTTTATAGATACAAATATTTAAGTAAATATTCTGTTTATAATAAACAGTATTAACAACATTTACCGGCCTGAATGTCCGAGAAATTGTCACAGAAAATATTCGTCCTCCGACAGGAATCGAACCTGTATCTTATACGGAACCGTCTTATAGCCTGACGTGCTTTTACCGATTTCGCCACAGAGGAGCGTTTCCGTTAGCAAGATCGATTTTATTGTTTTGTTTTTTTTTTATATGACGGTTTCTTGGATTTTCAGGCCGGTAAATGTTGTTAATACTGTTTATTATAAACAGAGCATTTACTCAAATATTTGTATCTATAAAAAAGAATGTATAAACATAAAAATGTCTTAAAATAATTGTCGGGCTTTGTCCATTTCATAATGATTAGTAAAAATACAACGGAAAACTGATTAACTAAATCTGACAGGCCTTGTACTCATTACGAAAAAAGCTGAAAATGTTCAAGAAATATAGGAAGCTTTTGGCTTACGGCTTACGTTCAAATGCAGGTTCTCGTACGATCACCAAAGTTAAGCAACGTCGAGCCTGGTCAGTACTTAGATGAGCGACCGCTTTGTAATACCAGGTGCTATAGATTTATATGTGCAGTGATGTAATGGTTAACGGCTCGAAAATAGAGATCGAAGTGTCGAGTTGGTTTGTTCTATTCCTTTTATGCGCAGATACCCTTTTTGAAAGTTATTAATTCACCTCTCCTCACATCCCACCAAGCTTTGTAGGATTTAGGACTTGTATCAGTAAATAATTATTTATCCTCAAAGAAACTCTTACTATCTTAAAATATTTTCTGGCTTTAAATAACCTGCAAAGGGATGATAAGCCGTAAAAACAAATCAATCGAGGTTTTTTCCCCCAAAACATCATTGCGTGTATATTCTGATAAGCGTATTGTGGTGTCAATGATCGGTGTTCGAGCCCCGATAAAATCCAATATTTCAATTTTCCAATATTTTTTTAAAGACAGGCATGCATTATCTCCTCATTCTGGACTTCTCCCTCTTAGAAGAGCTGCATGCTAATCTTACAAAAAAAAAATCACCTGCATAGTGTATGAGGTCGGGGGGGGGGCGTAATAAAATACCGAGGTCAATAAGTGCATTAACAACTGTACCTGAAAGAAGGTAGATTTCGTAAAACTTACTGTAAGAATGTTCCCTGTGTCTGCCTCAGTTTGTGTGACCGTCAGTCAGCATGTTTGGTAAAAGTTCAAGTTTTTGTGTGAATTTGGTAATTAAAAAAAAATAATAAATAAATAAAAATGAAAATAAAAAAACAAAAAACGACGTGTTCATATTTTTGTGTCAGGTCAGGAAGATCAATCAACATGTGCGTCCACAGAAAAACATATGGTTTCGTATCACGGACCTTCACGGTGCACACACGCGCGCACGTGCTCGCGCGTATTCGCACTCACGCTGTGTGTGTGTGTGTGTGTGTGTGTGTGTGTGTGTGTTTGTATACGTGTTTGTGTACGTGTGTTTATCTGTGTGTAAACTACATATTCGATAAGCATCTAATTATATGCGTGCGTGTCTTTGTCCAAGCCCATTGATGTCGGAGGCGCGTGACTGCATACGCTGGATTTGCTCTTACAAAAAGGATCTCTCTCTAGTTTCTAACCTTTTTTTTAAATTTAACTGAAGTGTAATAATAATAATAATAATAATAATAGGACGGTGAAATAAAAAAAAGGGAGCGATTTAAGACCACAGCAGTGGTAAAATCGGAGATACTTGGTGTCACTCGATCTCAATATCTTGTTGTTGCCCGACTCAGAAATAACCACTAGGGTGAGGTGATATGGATAACAACAGCAGTAACAACGAAGTTTATAAATAAAATAATTAAAATTCACTATTTACTATGGAAACCATGGTAAAAAAAAATTATTTCAAATATTGTCAGTTTCTTTTTTCTTTCATTTTTTAAAATCAACCATTTTTAAATCGTAAATATTCAAACCCATTCTCTTTACGCGAATTAATAACCCATTTTCTCCTTCTACGCGATTTCGTTTTATTCTTGATAACGAGTTCTCCCGACCTGATCCCTGACTGCAAAAAGCCTTAGACCTCTCGATCGCCAGTTTCCTGTTCTATTAGTTAGGAAAACAAATTTATTTATGAAAATAAGTGGATATTCCGCAATATTTTTCCTTAATTTCTTAACGCATTTTAAAATTAAATTAATTTGAACATAAAACCAAAATCCAACAACAATTCGGGGTATTTTAACATAAATTAATATTTTAACGTTCGCATGACAAAAAAACTAGAAAATGAGCCTGCGACAATGGTTTTTCATGTTAACGACAAGTCGAATCGAATAAAGCAATAAATAATTTTAAAAAGTGCACGTGTTTATTGAAATTGTTGTTATCATTGGATTTTAATTGATTCGTTAGGGATTTGTGATTATTTTCGGGGGAAAGTCAGAGACTTTTTTATTTTTTCCTTTCCTTCTCTGCGCAAGTTATGGAAATTTTGTGGGATTTATTACTTAATGTATGTGTGTGTGAATGGCAGTCGTAAAAACCTAAAACGATTAGCGAGCCCAATGGAAATATGCAAACCGGTTTTCTTTGATTTCTCGCTAGTATTTTTTTGTTGTTGTTGTTTTTTGCTGTGTGAACGATGAAAAGCAGTCATCGAGAAAGAAAGACGGAAAAGAAAGAAGGGAAGAAATGTAAAAAGAAAGAAAGATAATGGATACGAACAAAGAAAAGAAAAAGAAAGGGTTTAAGACGCTGGGTTGTAGAAGACAGAGAAAATCGGTAGCAGCACGAATTAAAGGAGGAGGAATAGAGGAGGAGGAGGAATAGAGGAGGAGGAGAAGGATGAGTTATTTTTCATTCATACATCAATCGCCTCATCCATTTTTCTTTCTTTCTTTCTTCTTACTTTCATTCACTAGTTCTTCAATTATTAGTGATTACCCCGCGGAAGGAAACATTATCCATCACAAACCGTCTTAATTCTTTTTTGTTCTTTATCCATTTTATTCTTTCTTTCTTTTACTCTCCAACGGTCTTTTTTTTTCTTCTCTTTTAAATCAGTTACTCTTTTCATCTCTATCTTTTTCTTCTTACACTCTTTCTTGATCCGTTCTTTCTTTCTTTTTCTTATAGTTTCTTTATAATTTCGCTATTTAATACCGTTTAATTTGGCCCAAATGATGATTGTGTTGATCCTGTCTATTTGCTTTAAAAATCACCATTTGAAATCAGAGCATTTACATGGATTCGAACCTCAGGCTCACCTATAAGCGAAAATATGCAACTCGCTCAGTCATTAAGGCGGACCCCTCTCTATTAATCTTACCCTTTTTTTCATAATTCCCTTCT